AAAAGAAAAAAGCCGGAAGTGGCGCTGTGGCTCAAGTGGTAGAGCGCTAGCCTTGAGCTGAAGAGCTGAGGGACAGCGCCCAGGCCCAGAGTTCAGGCTCCACAACCGGACCCAAAAAAAAAGAAAAAAAAATGCCATGTGACTAAGCAATAAAGTGGTAGATGAGCTTTCTGGTAGGCATATTATATCTTAATGGAAAAATCAAATGATTCTTTATATGGTGATAGGTTCCAAGCTTCATTATGTGTGTGTGCATTTGTGCGTGCATGGGTGCACACATGTACACATGTACAGGGGCTTGAACTCAGGGCTTTATGCTTTTGCTTGTTTTTTTTCTTAAGGCTACTTGAGCCACACCTCCAGTCTAGCACTTTGCTGGGTAACTGGAGATACAAGTCTCAGATTTGTTTTCTTGGGCTAGCTTTAAATCTTGATTCTGAGATCTCAGCCTCCTGAATATGTAGGATTGCACGTGTGAATAATCAGCCCTGGGCAACCTCTATTTCAAGTAGCTGAAGAATTTTTACTAAAGAAAAAAGGAACAGACTGATAGGCATTATCAGGAAGGGGGATATAAGCTATCAGTGGCATAATAAGTTTTCCAAGGTCAGTAGTTTCCATTTCTTGTCATAACAACAAACCCCAACAACTCCTATCCTGTGCCACCCCCACAATGCATTTATTAGCACCTGAAATTCTTCAGTTCTTACCTTCTCACCTCTTAGAAGCTATAAGAGCCTTCTATAAGTCTTCAAAAGGACAGTTAAAGGCAATAAAACCAGACTAGGGCTTCTATTTGACAACAAACAAATCAAAGCTCTTCTCAGCCACAGAGAAATATGTCTGCAATCCACAAGTGAGATAAAGTGACCTTTGATCTGCAGCAAAAACCAAATTGTAAGAAACAGAGATAACCCAGGCAGGCTATATGGGTAAACTCAGGACAAGTCCAAGGTGCTGTGTTTGCAAAAGGGTAAACAACTTCTTATTCCAAGAGATGGTGCCAGAAGCATGATTAGGTACAGGAAAAGCTTAGATAAATCTACATATAGTGGCTTTGGAGATATCAGGGCAGTTTTGAGCAATGGGACTGATTTTTTAAAAGATAACCCAGATGAGCAACAACTACTTTGTGCTATGGATAAGTCACAAGGGCCTTCCTGTAGGCTCAGATCAGGTAGGGATGCGTAGTCACTGTGGGGATGGGTATGGCTTCCTTCCTCTGCACTTGGAGATTCTGGGTTTCCCATTCCCAAGCTGCCCAAGAAAAGGAGGGACTTGGTCTCTCTACACACTTTCCAAACCTACTTTCTTGCCCACTAGAAGGGTTCCCAATATCTTGTCTTCATCTCAGGCACTTCTGGAGCCCAACACACACCCCTTCTTCCTCTTCCCTCTCCCCTCCATTGAGCCCTGTTCACAAATCTGGCTTTTCTATGAAATAGTTCAAAAGCATCACGGCATCCAAGAGACTGTGATGTAAACATGACACAAGCATGCCACAGACTTGAGTCCTAATCCTGACACTGCCACTGGCTTGAGTGAGACTCTATGGATGTTATACAGCCTTCCTGTGCTTCAGTGGCCTCACAGGAAATGGAGATATTAATAAATACCTATCTTGTAGCATCATTATGGGGCTGTGATACAAGAAATCCATATTAGAGCTTCACCCCAGTCCCTGGTACAAAACCCTTGGAATTTCCAGTCTATTTCAATCATACTCCATTTATGCTAATGAGGTTGTGGTCACTGTTGGAAGCTGGGAAAAAATTGTCAAAGGAACCAACCATGTGATTAGACTGCTGGAATTTTTCAGCTCCATTCCCAACCTTTAGGGCGTAAAGAGAGGATACAGGATTCTGTCAATCACCAATAACCAATAATTTAATCACTGATGTGTGTAATACAACCTCCAGAAAATTCCTAAATGATGGGGTTTGGTGAGCTTCTGGGTTGGTCAACACAGAGAGGTGTTGAGAAGGTGATGTGCTGGAAAAGGCCCTGCTCCCACCTAATATCCCCCTCCCCATACCTTGTCTCCTCCATCTTTTCCATTTGGCTTTTTCTGAATTGTCTTGTTTACAATAAACTAGTGCTGCTAAGTATGGTGTTTCCTAAGGTCTGTGCATTGTTGTAGGAAAACATACAACTTGAGAAGGGGATTGTGGGAGTTCATGGTCTATTGCCCATCAGTCAGGGACTAACAACTGGCATGTAAAGT